CGAGGTATGCATAGTTCCGATTCTTTATATAAACTCATTACTTTTTTATTTCTTGTTTTTGCTTTGGTTTGTTTTCGACGCGAGGTTTGCGTGAAGGTCCAGGCCCTAAAAGCCCCATCGATTAGGAAAATCTGAATGGCATGCCCAGCGGGTTTCGAGACAATACAAACAGGCGATTAATGGTGGGACAATCATTTATTCTTACTGCGTTCAAGGGATCCGTAATTTTCGACTTGACCCCAGCTTGGCCCAAACAAAAAATAAAACAATGGAAAACGATTCAGCGAATCGGATATTTTCATAGTACCACGACCTGGATATGTACAATTAATTTTCAGATGTCAAATATATAAGAATAATTGAACTAATTTTCATTGCGTCACGTATAAAACAATCGAATCAATTACTCCTGTCTTCTAGGTTTATATCTATTTAGACTTACAAGGGTTTGAACGAATTGTTGTCGAACGAAGTCTTGTAAATTAGGAAAGAAATAAAATTAGATATCCCTCTAAAGACAAGATTAAAATGATTACAAACGTGTAATTACGGTTTCTTTGGCAAAAAGCCGCTTAGGCATGGGAAATTATAAAATCCAACTTAATTACACTTTGAACTCTCAAGCCGCATTAAGGTAGAACCGATTTTGATTTGATTCAAAGAGATCGCCATTCCTTGAAAATTGCTGTTTGGATTTTTATCACTAATTATGATAATAATAGTATTTTATTGGGTTGTCCGGAAAATAATGCAGGATTTTAAGTTTNGGGAAATTATTTTGATTAAAGAACATTGCTTTAAAGTAACTAGTTTCTTTTTTTTTGTTTAATACCAAAATCCTGCATTATTTTCCGGACAACCCAATATAAGGAAATATATCGATTTTGAAATGTCTCAATTTACTAAGTGTAAATCCGCCTTTTTGACTATGGTCATTTTATTGGATTGATCTGCTTGGCCAAAAAGTAGGAAAAGGCGAGAAAAACATCCCATGGGCATTGAATCTCACATTGACCGCGAATTGCAATAAACAACGGACTTCAATATCAAACGACCTTACGAGGTGCGTTTCGATATGGGAATGGTTTCTTTTCTGGTCGGTGGAACGTATCATTTAGTTTGGCCTTGGGTCGTGTAAGAGTTTATGAATTGTATGATCCCTACAGTTCCTTCTTTATATTACTTTACGACTTCAATTTTCTTATTTATTTATTACTAGTGTTCGGCTACTCGTGTTACAAACTTTGCCCTTAGATTCTACATTCAAAAAAGAACCAAAAAGTCCTAACTATGGTCCGAATCTCAGCAGTTTCGAGTTATTCAACTTTTTCTGATTTTTTTAAGATTTCACGACCTTCCTTAAAATGAACAATGATAACTCCAAAACTAAAAGATTTTGGGCAAATTCGTTGATGGCATTGAAAAATTGGTTAAATTTCCAGTAAGATGTGATTACTATTAAACTTGTAAACGTTCGGGAAATAGGGTTATTAGTAGCGAGAACTTTGAAAAATATTTTTTTTTCAAAGTTGAAAAACTTACTATCGTGATTCTAAAGTACTATTTCCAAACCTAGAGACCAGCAAATTTCAGCAAACGTACTCCATTTAATATCCGTTTTTAGTTACGTAATTTCTTTTTAAATTATTTTTTCAAAGATAAAGAAATTGATAGAAGAAAGGAAAAACCATTGCTGACAGATTGGTAAGGTGGAAAATTAAAAAACAACTTAAGGAAATTTTGAATTATTTTATTAAACTTTTTTTTTAAATTCGGGTTCGAAACCGAAATAGTGCAAGTGTTTATTTATTTACCAAGACGACTGCAAGGATTATTAATTAAATTAATTACTTTAATTAAAGTATTATTGTATTATTATTTTTCAGAATAAAAGAGTTTTAAGATTCAAAACGTTTTTAGTTATCTTGCTAAAACTATGAATATTTTTTCTAATCGTATACATTTTATGTACCGGTTTTGCGGGTTTAATGCGACGGCAGCGCGTCGAAAATCCTATGCGGAGGGTGGAGATCATTTAGAATCAAAATTAAAAAACGTTTAATAAATTCATTCAAATTTTTTTAAGTTTTTTTATTTTTTATTATCCTCTATCAATTTTTTATCTATCTCTATCAATAATCCACGGTTTTTTCCTTTCCTCTATCAATTTCTTCATCTTTGAAAAAAAATTTAAAATTACATCACTAAAAAGGATATTAAATGGAGTACAAATTCTGAAATTTGCTGTTCTCTAGGTTTGAAAATTGTTGTTTGGAATCACCATAGTAAGTTTTTCAACTTTGAAAAAAAAAATAGTTTTCAATGTTCTCACTACTAAAACGCTTATTTAACGAGGGTTTACAAGTTTCGTATTGATCACATCTTATTGGAAATTTAACGTAGTTTTCGATGGTATCAACAGATTTGGAGTTATCAAGTTTAATTGAAACAAGGTCGTGAAATCTTGAAAAATCAGAATAAGTGAAATAACTCCGAAACTGTTGAGATTCAGACCAGTGTCAATTAAGACTTTTTCGTTCCTTTTTGAATGTCGAATCTACTGGCAAAGTTTGTAACACCACGTATGTACTAATAATATTCATTAATTATATTTAACGTACTTAACGGCGAGTAAATATTTTTCTTTTAGCCCATCGATTTCTTTTTGACTATGTCGTTTCCAAAATTTCCGCCTAATTCCATAAGCATATTCCGTAAATCTTTAGACTTCAATTATTTCATCACTTTGTTAAAGTAGGGTTTGTTTTAAACAAATTTTAAAAACAATAAAACAATTTATATTTTTGCAAAGCACTTTACCTCTAACAAATATCGAATTATGTGGATTATGGCGTAATCATTTAAAAATTTCTATAACACCAGCCAATTTTCGAAAAGCATCCTCCATTCATCAACCAAAATAATATCCGAATTGTGAATTAGCAATAGTAAATTCACCAATAATAATAACAAAGTAAAAAGTTTAGGGGCCGACAAACAGCTGAGGTCATCGCCGACTCGCGCGTTTTTAGTTCATTTTCTTAACAAGAAATTGGAAAAGTACGCATGAAAGACCAGAAATTGAAGTACCAGAACCTACAGCTTTTTGAGCGTCTATTCTGAAACTACGCTTTTTGTATTGTATGAACACTATGTCGATATCGTAAAATGCTGCCCCTTTGTACCCCATGATGTCAAATAAAAAAATAATTATTCAGAAATCGTGAGATGCGGTCTGGTGTGATGTAACTTTCAGAAAAACATTTTCTTTATCGTGCCAACGTTTCGATCTTTATTGAGATCATCTTCAGGGCTCAAAGTGTTTGTCTTCTGTGTAATTGTGCCATTCTTGCGTGTCGTGTTGAGAGTGCCGAGAAACGTTACGAAAAATTATCGATTAACCGTCACTAATCACCACACATAAAAAAATAATACGTACATACATGCATATATATTCATATACATATACATAGGAAGATATGGACCCCACCCGTCCTAACTATCCTCTCTTATTGATTTTAAAATTCATTGTTATGTTTTTTCATGGTAGTGAGTTCTGTGTATCTATGAAAGTAGTTAACCCTCTGGTAAAGCCAGTATTGCGTGTGCCATGACCATCCTTTTTTAACTACTATATTCTTCACCAGAAACATGGAAGTCTTGTTGCATTCACTCCCCCAGGGTTCTCGATATTCGTCGAGGTTAAGCAACCCCTTCCTTTCACATTAATAAATTACATTCATTCTAAGAAATTATATAAATTAAATTAAAAATATTTATTCGTTGGGTGTTAAAGTAAAGAATTATTTGTTTAATCAAACGTTTTATTCAATATAAGACTATGAAGACGGATTTCATTGTTTGGAAAGACATCTATGTATAGTATAATCTAGACGAAGCCATTAAAGAAAGCGTTTTTCAAGAAAATATCATTGCTGGTTTTAATATCGATGTGATTTTTCTGTAAGTCAGTTTTGCCCTATGAAGGGTTTCAGCCGGAAGCATTTGGATGAATTATAGCTCTCAACTTTGTCAATTGTAACCAAGGTGGACTAGTTGATATCGACATTCTGTACAAAACTGGCTTTCCTCTTTTCTCCTTAATCTTATTCTTCGTGAAATAAAGAAAACTAAACAATATCCCTTATTGTTAGTACGAGAAGTATTTTAGTAATTTTTTTTTTTAGTTTTTGAAAGAAGAAGAAAGCTTGTTCTGATCTTGGTGTCATGAAAGATCTGTAACACAAATGGCCAAACGAGACGAAAGAAATCTATGCTGATCAGGCCTCAATAAAGTCTACCCTATTCAAAAATCTAGATGTTGGACATTTCAAACGGATTCTTTTAATATCGAAACGGCAAACAAATCCACCATCAGATTATATGAGCTAATCCCCACGATCAACCAACAGACGAACCAAACCAGATTAATAAAAGACGAAAAAACCTAATATTTGCGCGCGGGGCAATATGAAAAGGAGAATAAGCCTAACACGTTGAAATTGAAAAACGATGGAAGATTCAATTTTTCTCGGTGGCATGGTGATATACATGTAATATATTCTTCGCAATATTAGATTTTGTTTTGCGCACCTAGCTAAGCAATTGAAAGGGAATCACAAGTCTAACAAAACTTTTTAACTATCTCCGTATTTTGGAAAATTTTATGCGACGAATATTTTATCATGAACGCAAAAAAATATATAAAAATCGTGGTTGTTTTGGTAATTATTAATTTTTTTTTTTTTAATACATATAAGCTTCTTTAGAAACAATTAAAGTTTACGCATTTAAAAAATATATTTCTTGATTTTTTTTTTAAATAAATGACGAGAAAGGTCAATAAAAGTAAAGAATGCCTAAACGGTAGATTTTTGTTTTTACGGCCAAGAAAATCGAAAAAGAAAACTAATCCCTCCCCCAAAAAAAACCGCCGGTTTTTGTATAAGAAATGGGTTTGAATTTTTTATGATGGATTAAGATTTTGTTTAGAATCTTACCTTTATTATAAATCGGTCTGACTGTGAAATCTGATCAAATATGATGCAGCATTTTTTTTTTCTTAATGTTTTTTACTCGAGGAACACACGAACGAATAAAAACTAAAAACTCAACACCACGTTGGCTTTCGCATTGGAATTTTTATTTCCAAAAACCAAAAATTTGACACGTCGCGCGAACTCGGATCCGTAGAGCGCCGTAAGCTCGCGACCAGGGAGCTTTGAATGGAATGAGACGGGAATCGGGAGCTGTGGATGGAGGGGTTCCGTTGCCAAGTTGGAGGGGATGCTCCAGTCCGCACATCACCTCTTCTCCTTCATGTATTTATGTATTTCCGCCCTGCATTTTTTGCGGTCGAGTTACTCGCATACGACGAACAGTAATTTAATTATCGAGGCACTTTAACGAGCAAAAATCCCAGTCCGCATTGTTCCTGTTTTTATGTTTGCCCTCATTGCTTCATTTCTGCGTTGTTGTTGGAAGAGTATCCTTATTTGTCAATCTGGCTATAATTGCGTGTATATCGTCATATAGATCGCGAATCTACGAATATAATTAATAATATATTACTATATTCATAAGCAAAAACACGAGCTGAGTCATGTAATTTCTACGAAACTGACACTATATTTTATTAGACCCTCTAATCCAAATTCGAACACGTTTCAGTAAGCGGAGAGGAATTTTTCAAATAAATGTTTTATTTCTAGCCTATATGTATAGAAATCCATATTAAAAATTTGTATGTGCTCATATGTTTTTTTCTCCTTCACCACAAACAGTACTGCACGGGAACATGTAAAGAGATATCGGTTAGCACTAAATGCCAGAGATTGCGTTGTTAAGTCAACACGAGTTCTCGGTATGAGAAAGTGTAGGGAGGGCTTGGTCAGTATGGTGAGGATGGATCGAAAACTTGTATGAAACATTTGGACGCGGTAACGGATTAGTTAATTTAACTGCAACAGTTAACATCACTGGCAATTTTTTCTGTATAACCCAATCAGAAAAACTTGGTTCTGCTGAAAGCGGCGTGTACCATCCGACGACACCTTCAATATTATTTCAGTCAGCAGACTTTTAATTTATTTAATCCCTGACTCATTGACTAACCTATCGGCTCTCCTGTGAATTGACTGGCAATATGAGGTCATGTCGCTTGAGCAAAAACGATGGGATTACCATCACGGTAATTCAATTTTAAACGGCTATTTTTTCTTAATAGTTTGGCACCTGAATTTCTTAAGCTGAAAAGCGTTTCTTCACTGCACGAAGCTACCGGCTTATAGCCTGCTGTTTGATAGTCTCTAGCTGCCGCAGCTTGCAGAAGGGCACAGCTGACAACCGTTTTACCGACATCGGTATCTGTCCCAGTTATAAAAAAAAACATTTATTCACGATATAGCATTCCAAAAACAAGCTGATAACGGGAATTTATCACCCATATGCGGATAATACTCGGCAAGCTTAGCTAAGTCATTTTTAGACATCAGCCCGTGCTGCTGACGCCGTTGGGCTAGATAAGTTGCACCGATACTTTTTAAAGATTGCAGAAAACAATCGAATGGAAGGAGAAGTTAAGGTCGTTTCGGATAATAAGGTTAATGTTAAGTTAACGTTAAGTTTAGGTTAACGTAGGGAGAAGTTTTGACAATTTGGCCGTGGATTTTTGAATGGAAGCGCTGGAGTTTGGCTTGGAGGAATCCCCGCAGATCCATTCCATTTATCCAAAACGGTCGCAGTTTTTTCTTGTTAGAGGTTCATTTTTGTCTGTCAAGACAAATTTCGGTACTAAAGGTTTTCTGTTAAGTTGTGTTTAACCCTCGGGGTTTCAAATCGGCTGTCTAGGTACAGTCCTTAGTATCTGACTTGGATGAAAATCGGTATCTCCTTGTTGTTGATGTACGGTGAAGAATCTATATTTTGGTGTTCTTTCAGGCCCGTTACGGTTTTTCAACATCTTTAGTTTTTAATTTTGGTTAAAACCGACCATTAAAGAAGGAACATCTAACAGAATCAGCGAGGATTGGCCGATTAAAATAATCTCAAACGATAACCTTCACCCCTGTCCACTTTTTTCAAAATTCCAGGACATCTTTCGAGTTGCACGAAAACACCTTATTTGGCATATCTATGCATTCATTCTTCAAAAAAGAAACTACTTTTATTGCACGCTTCTGCATTATTGTGGTTATTCGGCTAGTCCAAATAGGCCCAATAATTTCGGAATGTCGTGACTATTTTATCTCACCTTATTCGTTGTAATTAGTGAGAAATAAGGAGAAGATATAAGAAATAATTCTTATAAATTAAAGCAAAATCTGGCATGCAGGAGGACGTAAGTCTTAAACATCCCATTGGGTTAAAGAAGTTCCATGTCCTTAATATGATTTAAAATTTGAAAACCTTTAAAATAAAGTGTTCGATCAAGTCCATCTCACTTTTCTAATTATGCTAAGAACTACATTGTACCTTAATAGGCAATATTTATTCGACTGCTGGTTCTTGTTTGAGTACCTGTCCTCGATAATCTTTTTTTTATTCTGTTGTATAACGGTTGCTCTTACTGTTACTGACCCAGATGCTGTAAGCGCACATGGGATTTAGTAGCATGCTTGACCTTTCCATGCTTGGAGTTGGTTATCTATCTTAGGCGTGCATCTAACGTTAGCCAAAATCAAAATTTTGCTAAGTTGGTGTACTGCCTAGAAAAACTTGTTTATCTTCACATTAAGCGATTCACCGTTATCGTTTTCAACTACGTTTACTATATCAAAACGAAGGCAGTGGTATATCTATTGTACAGCAAGTTCCTGCTAAGTCCCTGTTAACCCCATCTTGGATCAGTGAGAGTTTCAAATTAGCCTGTTTAATACATACGTAACTCTTACGATAAGTTGGGCATTGTTGGTTAGGAAAACATAGTCCAATATATCATATAAATTTTATCCCTTCACTCTGGGAAGGTCTCATCAAAGAAACAAAACTAAATTTGCTATCGTTTTCTTTCCTATTCTATAATTTTTACATATTAGTATTTCCTGAAGAAAGAAAAAAATAATAACAATGCATTGATGACTAGGTTTATCTGATTTTGAACTCGTAAAGATATCTGGATCTTGCATATATGTGGGAGATATGTCAGTCGGAAGGCATCGCTAAACTACCAAAGCTAAATATATACATTTGAACCCGAGGGCGAAATCCCGCCCAAATCAATTTTGACGTTAGATCAAGGTTCAAACTTGTCAATGATTATTTCAAGCTAATTATTTCGTTCATCAGCGACATATTAAGAAATATTTTTCCTGGTTTAACACTAATCGAAAGAGTACATGTCAATTCTTTGACATTGTGTCATGAATAAATAAAATTGATTCGGTACATCAATATATAATAATAATAACAAATTCAAAGTTAACTTTTTTTAAATACTAATTTTTGGTCAAATGCCCTAAAACAAGTCGAAATTATTTTCATTCAAAACGACTTACTCATGGCTGCAAGGAACGATTTTAAGAAGTTTAGATTTTAAAAAACACTGACAAATACAACCTGTTTTTGACCAAATAAAAATTTAATTGCAGTTGTCAGAGGTGTAATAAAATATGTACTCTCAATGAAGGAAATAAACATATCGGACACTTATGCCTAGATGTAACTTCCGCGTGTCAACCTCGCATGGCCTATTTTTAGTCGGGTGAGTATGGTCCCTTTTCGATTCAGGCTCGATGTGGGCCACCCATCGCTTTTGCTTCGGGACGACTTCTCTGCCGATCTGGCTGACCGACGCTTCCAATTATTTTTAATCATGTTTTTAATTGCGTATTTAGTGCCATAGGGCCGGATCGCGGTTGTCAGGTCGGGGGCTTATGTGTTCCGGCCTTTAGCCTTTCACCGCCCGCTTTTCGTTACTCTGCAGGAATATACGTTCGGCGACCGAGAAAACTACCATCGTTTTTCCTCGATGCTGCAGTTCCGAGTCTTTCTCAGCCAAGGACACGACGATACCAAATACCATTCTCGCAATACACGGCACTCGCCACACCCATCCGTGAAGACGAGGTGAAAACCGACACACTTTCCAAGAACTGAGCTCGGTCTCTTGTCGGATTAGTAAGAAAGCATGCATATCCAATACAGACATAAATAAAAAGTTTTTTTTCTGCATTAGTTCGTACGCCTCCGTCTCCAGCTGTTTGTTATATAAACCATTCTTGTAGTCCCCCAATTTAATCCTTATTCAGTGGTGTTATTTTAAAAAAGTATTTTAAAAAACGCTTCTTTAAAACCTAGGTTTTAATTTTGCATGCCTAGAATATTTACGTAACAACTTACTCTCGAATATATAACAGCAGAATGTATGGATTCTAGGGATTTCAGATATTAAATACAGATAGCAACCACTTGTTTCTAACCATATTTAATAAAACTTCTCAAATGAATAATAAAATATGTACGGAGCAGTTGGATAAACAATTTGAAGCACAAAAAACAGCTTGCATAGAAGTCGTAAAATTGTTTTGTAGTCTTTTCTTCGAATGTATTTCAATTTATAATCCTTTTGGTACAGTGGTAGGGTATTTAAACGACATTTTTTACTTCATATTATTTATTCAGTGGCAATACTTACCGATTTGTGTTTGCTGGTGAAACTAAACCTTTCCAAAATAACCAATATTGAAGGATAATATTCCGTATAATGGATTGTTGCGCTTCGAGAAGTTTATTTAATAATAGTATTCATTTCAATTAAGAGAGAAAAAAGATACACAATCCACAGAAAAGCCTTTGTGAATTTAAACTCAATGAAACTTTTGAAAGAAGTCGTATAATTTTATCCAGGTCGTATCTCTCCCTTAAGTCTTTAATAAATCCTGCGGATCCAAACCATTTGTACTCGCTATTTACGACGTGACTGATTTTCCTTTTCTAATGGAAGATCATCCTCCAGCTCAGGTTTGCACTCATCTATCCGAATGACCTTATACATTTTCCTTATCATTCATTACTTATGTATTTTAAACGAATTGAACAGAAAAGTTTTTTTTCAGCCTTATGAATGTAATTAGAAAAAAGAAAACAATGTACAAAAATGCTCAGATAATTAGGATGATATGTAATATAATTACTATTCTTCAAAAAATTAGTAATTCTTCCTTAATATCACAAATATTTTTAATGACACTAAGCCACTGGATAATTCAATCTT